AATTGTTCTAACGACCACCTATCCAAGACAATCACGTGATGTATAAACAACCATTTCCTACTCCCCTACTTATACTGTCACTTTCCTAAGGTGACCACTTTTCTCCTCAACAATGAGTGGTCGGCTTGACCAAATTCGACTGTTTTTACAGCGCTGTTTCGTCTTTCATTCTTCTTTTTTACCACTTCTTCTTCATTGAGTCTTGTTGGGTGATATTTTTGTCGTAAAATGTCGTATTTTTTTACCCCTCGGAAATACATCTTAAATTACTTCATTCCGTAAATATTTTACCCCACCGTAACACATTTTAGCCTCAATTACATGTACTTCAGTCACACCCGATAAGACAAATCCTCACTATACGGGATTCTTCGCAGCAAAAAGACGGCGATTATGCCCATATTGTGAAGCCAGCTCCCATCCTTTGAGTGCAAAGAGCAATGTCTAACCATGACACCACCTGCGCTTGTTTAGTTCAACAGTGAAACACGACATCTCGTGAGTTGAAAGAACAGAAGACATTTCGAACCTCGGTATAAGTGTTCTACGGATACAATGCTCTCTCAGTAGACTAATTATATTCTTCTTGAGGTACGAGACCTCAACAATCATGATTTGCCACTCGTTTGTCTGTTTGCATCCTCTTAAAAAACGTTATTAATAGTATCCCAGTCTTTTTAAGTCACGCATTTGTTCAAGTTCTTCCGGTGATTTATTCCTTATCCATCCCGGTCTCGTTTGCTTTCTGTTTTCCCAGAGACAACAAGATGTTCAAATGTCTTATTATTAAACAAAATCATTAAATTTGACTTCGGAGCTTCTAGAAACAGGGAGGGTGGTTGGAGGGCGCAACTGGTAGGCACCTTGGCCTTACATGTACTTCCTTTCTTTATCTCTGTTGTTTCTGTACGTCTATATTACTTTATCTCACTTCTATATTACCGATTTTGTGTCAAAGTATGTCTCTTTACTTACACCTAAAAGAACTGAAAAGGTTTCGTTGCCAACATATTCCTTACCCTCGACGGTCCAGGTTGCCAAATTTCTGTCAGCACAGCTCGTTTGTCTCATTGTTGAGTGCAGACACTGATAATTACACCAAACAATACATATCCGATGTTCCTGTAATCTCCCAGTTCTAACAGTCTAAAATCGTGCACATTACTTTCCTCTCCCTTCTCCTGTCTCCAGTATTTTCATCCTTTCGTTTTCCTTTTTCACAATTAAGCGTTATCCGTAGCAATAATGAGTTTGTCGGTCTGCGGCGAGAAGACTGATAACATTAACGATAACGTCGATAACATAAAGGTCTAATTAGCCTGCGGGGTTAATGAATGTCACCCGCAGACTTCGCGGAGCACCATGAGAGGTAAAACCGCGATTTCACAGCAAATAAAAAGAAATTCGTGTTTTGACGTAATCAATTTTTGATGAGGACAGCGCTTTAATCAGGGCCCGGTATCCTACTATTCGCACTCGGCTTGACGGCACGAGAAAAACGAAGGTGCTGATGATCAATTTTTTAACGATGCCCTGATAGCAGGGGATACAACTAGGTTACTGACATCAACTTCATCCTCATCGCTTCCTCATCATCATGATCATCATCATCATTGGTGTACAGCACCAGAAAAAGTATGGCAACTTGGACATCTTTAGAGAATTGCATTGCATTGTTACGTATGTTTCACCTCTTCTTGTTTTTCTTCATATTCATCATCTTCTTCTCTTTCTTTGCC